TCTGGCTGCTCTGATAGATAGAAAGCTCCTTCAAAACAGGATTTCTGACATTCGTATTAATATTCCTGAAGTTCTTATAAACAGGTGTTTATCAGAAATATTTGGTTATTGACTGAATAACTGAACGAATGAGAGAAAGAAGAACCCTTTCTTTGTTTTAGTATCCTGTTTCTATTTTATTGGAGGCAATGTCTTTTCTCCTTTTTCCGAGGATAGTGATTGATAGTTTTGACTCCTTTGTTCTGTGTATTTCTTTTAGTCTCACCCTTCCAGATGCCAAAGGCTTTTCTAAGGTCTGTGGTAACCCGTGATTGTTCTGCTCATGATTAAGAGTGAGGGAGGAAAATACTGACTGGGAGCTTTGCTTTAGGGTGACTAAGCATCCCTGTTTGCCCAGCACTGAGGGGCATCCCAGTGCAGGGGAGTTTCAGCACTAAAACCAACAGTCTCAGGCAAATAGGGCTGAGCTGGTCATCCAACTCTGAGCCCTTGGTTTGAGCTTGTCAACTTTGGGCTTCACTGGCGGGGAAGTGGCTGGGACATTTTTGGAAGAGCCTCTACATCAATATTTTTAGGGCTTTCATCTTGGGCCACTCAGAAACCCCAGAGAAGCAACTTCCAATCTCTTGCCTTGAGAGTCAAGGCTTGTCTTGCAGGTACTGGCAGCCTCCAGGAGGCAGTGTCCTTACACCCCTCATTCTTATGATTTTAGCGTAGTATCCTCATCGTCTGTGCTCCTGGCATTCCTTAATCCAGAGATCCAGTTCTGTCGGTCTCTGTGTGTCTGCCTTGCCCCCCCTCGTATTCATAATGCCCCTACAATCCAGAAATCACAGACTGATGGTACTGAGGGTGGTGAGGACAGGAAGGACTCGCCTTGATGCCCACCCTCTCCTCAGCCAAGACCGCCTTTCCCAGAAGGCCGAGTGCACTTCTCCTTGTGTCCCATTGGTCAGAGGTGGGTCACATGCCCACACCTGGACCAATCACTGACAATCAAAGGCAAAGAGGAGGACCATAACTGGCTTATAGCCAATAGGATTCTGTCCCTTGGTCTGGGAACACGGAGAGTGGAACAACATCGGGGTTTGTTGGCAAGAGAGGAGGGGGCCCTAATGTGTATAGGTCACCAGAAGTGCTGCCTCTCAGCGTCTACAGGCACAGCATTGATTTAAATCTCACTTGGGGTCTAGGAGTTAAAGTTCTAAAGGCTTCTCACCCCTTCAAGTGCCCTGGGGCCTCTTAACTGAGCTTTACTAGAAGGGGGACTGGTTGGCCATTTGGGGAAATGATTCTTAAAAATTGAGCATATCTGAGACCTGGCTCAGAGGGGCCTGCCTATGTTTTTGATAAGCCTCCTGGAAAAGTTTATTTAAAGGAAGAAGAGGTTGGGCCGGCCCGTGGCTCACTCGGAGAGTGCGGTGCTGATAACACCAAGGCCATGGGTTCAGATCCTATATAGGGATGGCCGGTTGGCTCACGTGGGAGAGCGTGGTGCTGACAACACCAAGTCAAGGGTTAAGATCCCCTTACCGGTCATCTTTTAAAAAAAAAAAAGGAAGAAGAGGTTGATTCTTCATGCATTAACTAATGTTTATTTAACACCTACTATGCACCAGTCAAGGTGCTGCGGGCTAGAGACACAGTGGTGAACAAGACGAATGTAGAGGGAAGGCAGTTGTCACTCAGGCCACCCTCCATCCAAGTGCCTGCAGACTTATACTTCATCCAAGGGAGAGGGTCTGTATTAGAGCAAGTAACAACTGCAAGAGCAGTTTCAATAAAAATGTGATGAGCACCAACAGCACTGCTGCAGAGCCTAAGGGAGAAACCATTCATGGCACAAGTGGGGACACAGGGGACTTATCTGCTTGTAGCATTTGTGGAGACCGTTTGTGCTCTGAATGGACACAGCAGTCTCAGCAGCAAGCCAGACCAGCCCACATCGTGGCATGCTTTGGAAGGAGGGTGGGGACATCAGCAGGTGTTGGAGGCACTGCCACGCCCAGCCCCACCCCCGCAGCCACTCTCAGTAGCTCTGGTAGCAGGGCAGGGGCGAGGCAGCTCTGAGAGCCAGATCCACAAAAACAGGAAATAGCAGAGTCCAGGTGTTCACAAGACAATCGAGATAGCCCCAGAATCCCCCAAAAGCAGTCTGGAGGAATTTAAGGGGGATTGAGTCTTTCCTGTTGATGTGACCTATTTTTTATCCACATGTTGGTATGTGGGTATAAAACATGGATTTCAGAATTTAGAAGAATTATAGGGGGTGCCTATCAATTGATATTTACTCTACTCTGAAACTGCTCTTTCTATAAATTTGTCTGCTCTTGATTATACATTTCAAACATATACAAAAATAGAGAGAATGGTATAATGAGGTCCAATGTAGCCATCAACCAGCTCCAAAAATTAACCATATGGCCTCGCTTGTTAATTGACAATCATCGATGCCAGTGCTCCAATATTATTTTGAGGCAAATACCAGATTTTATAAAATTTCATTGATAAATATTTCAGGGTGCATCTAAAAGATAAGGGCTCTTTATATATGCACATATCCACAATACCATTATCACATAAAAAATATCAGCAAATATCTAATCAGTGTTTAAATTTCCAATTGTCTCATAAATGTCATGTGCCTTTTTACAGTTTATTTCAGGATTCAAATAAAGTTCACACATTCTATAAATTTAAAGTTCCAGGGAATTCTGGGTTGAAACAAAACCCACAATAAAATTAGACTTCTCTAACCCTACCTTATGTTTTATGAAATTGTAATATCAGGGAGGATATCTTTTTTCTCCTACAGAAAAGCTTTCCAAGGCTATGTTGGTCATAGGAAAGCTATTTACACAGGTCCCAGGTTTCTAGTCTAATAACTAGGAGCATTTGGCAATTTGCCCACAGAACAATACTGGCAGGTGAGTCATTTCCCACTAGAGTCCACCCACATCGCAGTGTTATGGTGTAAATGCCACTGGCCCTTAATAGCTCCTCTGAGGCCTAATTAAGTTAGAGGATTCAGGAGCTGAAGCAGCCACCAGGGGGCTCCCGAGGAACTCGATGAACTTCGGAGTTACCTAAAAAGCCAGCTTGACCTGCTATATTACAGGAGACTGAACATACCAGGTGAGAATTGGTTCCTCCCTTATTCAGGTCGAGGGGGCTCCCGAGGAACTCGATGAACTTCGGAGTTACCTAAAAAGCCAGCTTGGCCTGCTATATTACAGGAGACTGAACATACCAGGTGAGAATTGGTTCCTCCCTTATTCAGGTCAGTTTCTACCAGCAAAAGAGACCAGACCTCAGGGAGATGAGGCTGGTTCCCAAGGCTGGCTGGAAGAGGTCAAGGTTAGCTATCAGTTGCCCTATCAGAGGATTTGAAGTTCTCAGCCCTCCCCACTGAGATCCACTTGACAGTGAAGAGTGTACACAGATGTGGTGCATTCCGTGCTAATGAGCACCTGTAACGTGCTAATGAGCACCTGATTGTTAATAAATACTTCGATGATTAAGAAAACGAAGAGCTTTATTATAAGCAATGTTAGACATATGTAAGTATGGACGGTTAATGTGAAATTGCACACCTGTAGAAAAGCACCAGCCTGCAAACTTGGATACTTAGACTCTCCATTGGGCTTTGCAAGTCTCTCCCTATCTGTGGGCCACACTGCTGGAAATTGAGGGGGTGGGATAGAAGCCACTCGCTACCGTCTCTTCTTTCTCTGTTAGGAGTTTTGGGGAGGGTACTATATTAGTTTAAGGATACTGTAACAAAGGACCACAAATTGGGTGTCTTAAAACAACAGAAATGTATTCTCTCTCAGTTCTGGAGACCAGAATAGTGAAATCAAGGTGTCAGCAGGGCCACGTTCTCTGACAGCTCTAGGGGACAATCTTTCTTTATGCCTTGCACCTTCTGGTGTTTGCCAGCAAGTCTTGCTGTTCCTTGGCTTACAGATGGCTGAAGTCCTGTGTGTCCTCACGTGCTCTTCCCTCTGTGTGTGTCGGTCTCTTGTCTCCAAATTTCTTCTTTTTATAAGGAAACCAGTTGTATTAGATTAAGTTCTCCCACCCCAGTGATCTTGTTTTAACTTAGTTCTCTCTCTAAAGACCCTATCTCCAAATAAGGGTACATTCTGGGGTACTGGGGGTTAGGACTTCAACATATCTTTTGGGGAGAACACAGTTCAACCCAAAATAGGAACTGTGTTGTAGAAAGACAATGTTTGAAAGGTCTGTAATGACAAACCCATAAACTGTGCATTCTAGTGGCTCATACACCCTGAGGTTCTAGGATGAAGTCATAAGCCTACAAAGATACCGTAATAACACATCAACAATTATGTTGTGGAAAACTACGTACTGTGATTTTATTGAGAAAAGTGAGCAGTATACGCCAAGTGAGCTTCATAACCCAGATCACATTAAATTCACTACGTTTAATTATTTCCTATGATCATTGATACAGAAAATCAAATACAGATCAAGATTTTAAAACTCTAGATTTCTTTGCTAAAAAGATACAACAGAAGGTGATTCTTGTGCTACCCAAGCAATTATCATAGAACTCTTTCATATGGTAANCAACAATTATGTTGTGGAAAACTACGTACTGTGATTTTATTGAGAAAAGTGAGCAGTATACGCCAAGTGAGCTTCATAACCCAGATCACATTAAATTCACTACGTTTAATTATTTCCTATGATCATTGATACAGAAAATCAAATACAGATCAAGATTTTAAAACTCTAGATTTCTTTGCTAAAAAGATACAACAGAAGGTGATTCTTGTGCTACCCAAGCAATTATCATAGAACTCTTTCATATGGTAAATAAGATAACTTGTATATATCAAACACTCAAAAAATCAGATTCTCACCCCTTCTCAGAAATATAGCATTAATTACATAAACGACACCACCCCTGCCTTTGGTACCTTCACCACCACCAGCAAAGGTCCATCCATTCTTTTGGGTTTTAACCAGAACATTCATGGCCCTGCAGACTTTGGTCCTAGCAGGGACCACTTCAGTTCCTGACACAGCTTCTCAATGAACAGCGTCAAGGCCAGCCCAGTGACGAGGGTCAGCAAACAGTGTCCAGAGAAAAGATAGAACCAGAGAGAAAGAAGAGCGTGGTGGACACAGTTTTACTCTATGATTCCTGATGTGTTCAGATCTTAGAGTCTACCATCCTGGCTAAATGAAATGGATCTGTTGGACAAACAATCCTAAACATTAAAAACAAAGATGTCATCCTGTGCTGAAGCCTTCCCTCTTTCTCTCTCAATAGAACAAAGAACAACAAAGCTCTTAAAAAAAAGGGGGGGGGGTCTTCCAAAAAAGCAAACTGGTGGCTTTGTTGCTCAGGAAGAGAACACACTGCAGCACTGTAACAGACTGCTCTCAGACTCACCATGTTGGTGTCAGTGTAGTGAATAAGTGTTTCCTGAAGTCCATTGTGCAGGATGATCAGAATTGGATGCACCAGGTAGCAGGCATAACTGATGCTGGCCAGGAAGCTCCAGATGTCAAAAGAAAGCACCAGGTTCACCAGACCTGAAGGGATAAGCACGGATCACAAAGCCACAAGCCCCTCTCTGCAGCGGTGAAGACAGCATGCTATTATTGCTCCCTTGGGCTCTGCACCTCAGTCTGTGAACTTTTCCTAAGATCTTTATGCATTATGATTTTTTAAGGAGTGTACATAAAAAGAAACGTTTCTGCTGCAGGAATATGATAACATAAGAGAGATGCTAATATGGAGTTTTTGGTGAGGCGTACTTCCTTAGCATGGTTTCAGCCCCTGAGCACAGACATTCCAAGTGTCAAACAAGGTGCAAAGTCCTAGCACTAGCCCAGGTTCTGGTTTAAGATGTGGCCACACTAGCGGCTGGGCCAGGGACGAGGCACTTAACATTGCCAGGCCTCAGCCTCTTCATCTGTTAGTGAGAGGCTAGCATGTGATCACCTCTAGGTCCCTTACTGGACAAATATTCTGTAACTTGGTACATCTTCTAGAACTGTGCTGTCCCAGACAGTAGCCACTTGTGGCTATTTAAATTAATTAAAATTAAATACAATGAAAAATTCCTCTCTGAATAGTACTTGCTGCTATCTGTAATAGGTTGAAGAGTAATCCTCCAAAAGATACGTCCTCCAGGAACCTCAGAATATGACTTTATTTGGAAGAAGGTCTTTGCGGATGTAATTAAGGTAAGGAACTCGAGACGAGATCATCCTGGATTAGGGTGGGCCCTAACTCCAATGACCAGTGCCCTTATAAGAGACAGCAAAGGAAATAGAAAGACACAGGAGCCATCCCAGACTCCTTTCTTTCTCTTGCATCTACGGAGTGCTGTCAATCTGTCTTACAGATGTTTCCCAAATCAGACCACTGCTCACCACCTCCAGTGCTAACACCCTCATCCCACCGTCCATCGCCACCTCCTCTACAGCAGCTTCCTAAGGGATCTGTTGGTCTCTCTTGCCACCCTGGAGTCCTCATGCAGTCTCCAAAGTAACATTTTAAAATCACAAATCATATCAATGTGCTATGGTCTGAATGTTTGTGTAAATGGTCTTGCCATTCGTAATAACTTCGTATAGCATACATAAATCACAAATCATATCAATGTGCTATGGTCTGAATGTTTGTGTTCCCCACAAATTAATGTGTTAAAATCCCAAACCCCCCAAAGTAATGGTATTAGGAGGTGGGTCCCTTGGGGTGATCAGATCATGAGGGCAGAGAGACTCTAGGGCCCTAGAGAGCCTTTTTATAAGGCTTCCGCCATGTGAGGACACATCTAGAAAGTTCCACCTGTGAACCAGAAAGCAGGCCTTCAACAGACTCTGAATCTGCTGATGCCTTGATCTTATAGTTCATAGTCACTAGAACTGTGAGAAATGAATTTTTGTTGTTTATAAGCCACTCAGTTTATGGTATTTTGTTATAGCATCTCAAATGGACTAAGACATTGTGTCACGTAACATTTAGAATAAAATCTAAACTCTTTGGCCGGCCTGTGGCTCACTCGGGAGAGTGCGGTGCTGATAACACCAAGGCCACGGGTTCGGATCCTGTATAGGGATGGCCGGTTCGCTCACTGGCTGAGCGTGGTGCTGACAACACCAAGCCAAGGGTTGAGATCCCCTTACAGGTCATCTTTAAAAAAAAAAAAAAAATCTAAACTCTTCCACATGGTCCTGCAGGCCCTGCTAACCTGGCCCCTCCCTCCTCTCTGGCCTCACTTCCTCTCTCTCTCCCCTGGATCTTTGATTCCTGTCTTGCTGGACTTGCTGTTCCTCGCATGCACTAACCTCTCTCCAGCCTGCAGACCTCTGCCCTAGCATTCCCTCTGCCTGGAATGCTTTTGCACGTCTTTGCAAATGCACCCCTATCCCAGTTACCTTCTAATCCCTGCCTTATTTTCAGTCACTATATTTATCTGCATCTGGAATTATATGTTTATTTACTTAATATGGTTCTGGATTGGTTGCCTGTGAATGCTGTAATAAATTGCCACAATCATGGTGGCTTGAAACAACAGAAATTTATTCTCTCAGAGTTCTGGAGACCAGAAGTACAAAATCAATATCACTGAGCAAAATTAAGGTGTCGTTAGAATCACACTCCTTCTGGATGCCCTAGGGGAGAATCTATTCCTTGTCCCTTCCAGCTTCCAGGTGACTTTTGGCATTCCTTGGCTTGTGGCCACATCATTCCGATTTTCAATGCCAACATCTTCCAGTCTCTCGCTGCTATGTCTCCATATCACCTCCTCTGTGTATAGTCAAATCTCTTTCCGCTCCACTCTTATAAGGTGACAGGTGATTACATATAAGAGTCCACCCAGATAATCCAAGATAATCTCACCATCTCAAGATCTTTAATTTAATTACATCTGCAAGGTCCTAGGGATTAGGACTTGATATCTTTCAGGGACATTGTTGAGCCTTCTAGAGCATTCTCACCTCCCCACTTCCCCCACTACGCCCTTGTAATCTCCTGCAAGGGAGGAATTTCTTATGTCTATTGCTATATCCCAGCATCCGGAAAAGTGCTTGGCATAGAACAAGCTCTCAATAAGTATTTTATGTAATTAAGTGAATAAACAGAGATGAACTCATAGACAAAAAATGTGCTTTCCCCAAGTGGAGGCCAAATAAGGTGAACCAAGATTTCACTGTAAGACAAAACAAAATACTTGTAGGAAAATTAAGTTGTCAAAGAGCCCATGTTCATACAGGTAGACCAAATGCAGAAGAACGTGCCCTACAGCAAACAGTAGCATATTTACATTGTGAGCTACCACTGACTGCCACAAACTGTCCATCACATTAAATTAATGCTGTTAATCCAGATTTGTTTTGGTTTTATAGTTTTATCATTGCTTGATAAGTTTGTTTTGGCTTTATAAATTCATAAACGTAAAAAATCAGTAGATAGGTTTATATTTGTTCATGTTTAAGTAAAATCAGAATAAAAGCAATTTAGGCCAATGCTAAAGATCCAAAAGAATTCTTATGCCTTTAGAATTTGATGACCACCACCACAGGTGACAGGGTAGCACCGAAGGATTTTAACCAGAGGAGTAACATTGTTGGAAGTTGACTCAAGCAACTCAGCAGAAGACTTTGAGTGTAACAGGACCAGCATGGTCTACACCGGTACCAACAGAAGCTGATTAAAGAGATTATTTGAACCATCAAGATCCTTTCTAGTTCCAAGAGTCTCAAACACTTTTTCTTTAAACACTCCTATTTTTTTCCTAAAGTTCATCAGGCAGACACACATTTTCTAAAAATTTATCTAAACTATCATCTCCTACATTCACCTACCAATCAACCTTGATATCTCCTAGACAGTGTTGGAGAAACGGATCTAGAACACCTATAATTGTGGATTGGCAACATACCTTTGAATGATAAATTACTCAATAATAAACAAAAAGGCTTGTTCATCACCCGGATGAGGAGAGATATCACCCTTACTCAGAATAATGATTGGGAATATTTACTAGTTTCACTGTAGTGACAATACTGCAAAGTAGTTTCACCTTCTTTTTTTTTTTCCCCCCTTTTTTCGTGTCTGGCAACGGATCGCAACCCTCAGTGTCGCGCCCGTACCAGACCAAGACCAGCAACGGGATCGCAACCCTCGGTGTTGCTCCCGCACCTCGCTCAGCCAGTGAGCAGGACCCCGTCTGTACGTGGGATCCGAACCCTTGGCAGGAGCGCCACTGCACTCCCAAGCGGCACACTGTAGCAGTGCGCCACCGGGCCGGCCCATAGTTTCACCTTCTAAGTAAGTGCTCAGCCAGTGAGCAGGACCCCGTCTGTACGTGGGATCCGAACCCTTGGCAGGAGCGCCACCGCACTCCCAAGCGGCACACTGTAGCAGTGCGCCACCGGGCCGGCCCATAGTTTCACCTTCTAAGTAAGCCATTCCTCTCTAATCATTACTTACATTAGCCTGTTATTCTTGATAACAGCAGGCCTTCCCACATTAGACAGGAATACTATGATGTTTGACACAACATTATGAATTGCCTATGCCGGTCCAGAGGAAGTCCTTGTCTATGTTCTGAGGCTACAGGGGTGGGGTCAGGATTGTAGTCACATGATCGAAACAGTTGTGCATAAAAGCAAATACAGGGCCGAGCCCATGGCACACTCGGGAGAGTTTGGCGCTGGGAGCGCAGCAGCGCTCCTGCAGCGGGTTCGGATCCTATATAGGGATGGCCGCTGCACTCACTGGCTGAGTGCAGTGCGGCCGGTCTCAAAAAAAAAAAAAAAAGCAAATACATCAGTGAGAGAGAATGTAGCCCACTTTTTCTTTAACATCATTTTTCCATATAAAGGAAAGCCGGTTAAATTAAAATATTAAAGAACAAATCCCTCATATTAAAATACTCATAACATTCAAGGACAGTTTTAATGAACATCTGAGAAAGGTGCTATCACGCAGCGATGGAGAGTATCGGCTTGAGAAGTTGCACTGGGTCCTGGGTTCATTTTCCAGCTCAAGTCCTTATGGGCTGTGTGACCTTCACTGTGTTGCTTCATCTCCAGCATGTTTGTCCTCAGGGAGAAACAGAGCTAATTGTAGGTGTAACTCACAGGGGTGTGTTACCCGGAATCATGTGGGTGAAGTTTTCTGCTGTGTCTGGTACTCAGCCTGTGCTCAATTAACAGGAGATGTTAGAATCACTCAATTATTTTTTCCTTGAAACTGTGGTTTCCATCCACTTTTGTTGAGGCTAACTGGTCTGAGTCCCCGGGCTAAGTTTAAACTCATCCAGATTATTTCCCTAGAGTAAAAAGCTATCTGCCTCCACCAGCCTCAGGGCTGCTGGGTAGTCTGGGGCCAGAACCTCTCCCGGATGTTTCCTGCCAGCTTTGGTGCTGTCATTTGCTGACACCGCAAGCACCCAGTTCACACCTCATGCCAAATAGAGAAGAAAGAGAGGAAACGTCAGCTGGCTTGAATACATTCACATTTCTAATCTGGAGAAGATTCCTTTCTTTCCATTGAAGTCCTTTATCTGCTTGACACCCTGCATGTTGAAAGCCAGCTAGACAGAAATACAATCTCCCCAGTTATCCAAGAAGATCTTGGTGGGAAACTGAGGCCCAGTGTGGGCCTGGACAGAAGTCCTGTCCCCAGCACTGGTATTTCTGTTACCACTACATTACTCTGCCAGAATTATCTTTGAACTTCTCAACTAGCTTCACTAGACAGGCTGCAACTTTTTCTTTAAGAACCTAAAACCAGTATATAAAATCTGTGTAAAACCAGTGTAAAAATCTGAAACCAATTATGTGTGGGTGTTTCCCCCAAAATATAGACAAATTGTTGTTTTCGAGTCACTATCAGAGTCATTCATCAACCACTACAGCAAATAGAAGTCCTTCTGGGTACAATCTTTGTGTGTCAAATCTGTCCCCTTTAAAGGGACAGTGTGTGAGCCCCAGAGCAAAGCCTATGCCATCTCATACACCCATGGCCTCCCCGGCAAGTGAAGATGACCCAGCCCACAGCCACTGCCCACAGGGTCCAGTGCAGGGCCTGATAGAGCACAGTGGCAGCTGGAGAGGTGACAGAAGTGTCGTCCACGGCGTAGGCCAGAGCTACCACGACAAATAGGTTCAACAGGCAGCAAGTCCACCCCAGCAGGGCCTGCCCCTGCAGGAAAGGAGGGTGGCTCACTGCCCATTGCAGCCACTGTGGGTCTACCTTCTTTCACATAAACTTACTTTTTTGGTGTTATTACTGTCACTTCTGGTTTCTATTGGTAAATCTCAGTCATTGTGCCGATTTGACTAAAATAGAAGATTCAGATGAGTGGTTACCAGGGGTTAGGTATGCTGGGGACAGTGGGGTGTCGCTAGTTTCTGGCCACCAGGCTCTTCAGGAGCTCACTCTTTGAGCCCATCACCTCTTGGCTAATTCCTTGGCCTAAACAGGCCTGTGCTCTCTCAGCCTGCAGCCTGGGCATCACGTTCTCTCCTATCCTTGTCCATCTATCTTTGCTCCATAGTGCTTCCCGCCTTATGTCACTCCTAGCCCACGGCACATGCCCAGCTTCCTCCAACGTGGACCCTGTGTTCTTATTTTCTAGCCTCTAAAGCTCCGAGTTCAGTCTACCCAACCCTCTATGTTGTTTGTCTGGCTCAGCTTGGCTTGTATTCCAGCATCGTGCTCCTGGTCCTGGCGTGTCCCTTGAGGAGGTTCCCAAATGCTCCCTCTTCATCTCAGCTTTTCTCTTTTGCTGACAACCATTTTCTCCCTGGGCCCACATGTAACCTGGACGATGTTGAAGCATCTCTTTAATGGCATTCTGTTATAATCTACAACTGAATTATGCATTTCCATGGAAATATCATAACTCCAACCTATAGAAAAAGTCATATAGCCCCTGTATATTTGTTCCTTCCAGTTAAATCCTGTCTCCTGTTTCTGCCATGAGCAACATAAGATTTTCCAAGGATCAGGGCCTCTTCTCCAAAACGTCTAGGTGAGGTACCCACAAGACCCAGGCAAAGAAATGTACAGCCTAGCAGAGAGATTTGGAGCAGGAGACAGGATTTAACTTTCATTCATTCATTTACTGAGTGTCTTCAGTGAGTCGGATCTCAGAAGCACATGCTGGGGATTCGGAGGGAGTGAGACAGGCTGTGCCCTTAAGGAGCTCACAGTCTCTGGGGCAGACAAATGCTTTACCACGTGGTAAGAACCAGGGTCCAAGAGTGCACAGTGCATAGAGGAACACAAAGGAGGGACACAGCCCAGCCTGGAGGGATAAGGGAGGAATTCCTGCAGTGAAAACTCCAGGTGAGCCTTCGAGGCTAAATAGAAGTCAAGTCAGATGAAGGGAGGGGTTGGTGGAGGAAAGCCGGAGGGTGGAAAGGCACATTCTAGCCAGAGAAGGAAGCATGAGCAAACACACAGATGCCAGGAATCGTGTGTGTGTGTGTGTGTGTGTGTGTGTGTGTGTGTCTGTGTGTGTGTGTTAGTGAGATAAGTCGCCATGAGCAGGTCAGTATCACTGACTCACAAAGAGCAAGGCAGAGGGTGGCATCAGTGACAACACTGGAGAAATAGGCAGAGCCATGTCATTGGGACCTCGAGGGCCTTACTGAGATCAAGCTTTATTCTGGAGGTCAAAAGCAAGCCATTGAAAGATTTTACATGTTCAAGGACTTGGTGTTTTAAATAGATGGCCCCAAGAGTGGATTTGAGATCAGTAAGACTGGAGGCAAAAAGCTAGCAAGGAAGTCCAGCAAGGGATGAGAAGAGCTTCAACAAGGTCAGCTGGAGAGGCTAAGAGAGGACAGCAGGAGAAACGATCAGCAGGGCTTGGTGGTTGATTGGATGGGAAGGGTGGTCAAGGAGGAGGCATCCAGAATGAACCCAGGCAGCCAGCTTGAGCAGCGAGGTTAGAAGGTGAACCGGAATGATGGCCCACAAAGAAACCAGAGAAGGAAATGTGTGTTCAGGGCCCACCTGGAAGGCAAAGATACAGCTTCTCCCCTCTGGACACCTCACGTCCTGATACTCAGATGGAACCATGAAATCTGACCAAGAATGCTGTCTATGGAAACCAAGGAGTGTGTGCTGTTAAAAATCCAACTCAATTCACTATCTCCTTTCGGAAAATGGTCTTGCCATTATAATCTCACTGGGTGTGTTTTCCCATATCAGTGGTTTCTTTGGGTCTGTACCAAGGCTCCGATGGGTGGGACCCCACTGGGTTCCAACTATGGAACTTTGTCTTTTTCAGTGAAGGAAGCAGAGAATCAAGCTCTGGCAGGAAGATAAAGTCCTTCTTATTCTTTAGCATGAACAGATATCAGTAACGCCCTGAAGCACAACAAAGCACTCAGAAGGCTGACTCTTCCCGCTCATGGCTTCGGAATATTCTGGCCAGATGGGCCACACCAGTCCCAGCCAGACCCGTGCCTGTACACTGAGGCACGGGGAAAACATACCTTGGTTCTGAGAACGTTTGCCTGGTGGTTCTGATGCATGAAAATGCTCAGAAAGAGGCCCACAAGGAAGGGCCAAATTCGGCAGTAGGGCTTGATGTAGTACACCAAGAAATACAGTACAGTTGTGCTTTCCCTGAAAAAGGCAAGGAAACAAGGCAACAGTTTATGTTTGATGTGGACATGGAAAAGGGAATCCCAGAGATATCCACTGGAGCAATCAGAAAATCCAAGGGTAGAATTGGGGCACATTTGTTCAGTTCTTCAGGAATGATCCACAGGCCCTGATGAACCTATCTTCAGCCGCAGCTGGCTTGTTCAAATTCCAAATTCCCTTGGGCACCTCTACCCTGGACCCCAAGGAAATACGATGACTGTATTCATTTTAATAGTTGTTTCTGGTGGCTGATATATCAGATGGCTCTAAAAATGTGGTGCCCAGAAGTGAACCCAAGACTCCCAAGGACAGAGACTGTCATGTGAGAGAAGAGAAGTTCTAAGAGGTTCAGGCCACAGCTTCAAAGAGAGTATTTTATCTCTTTGAAGCTGTGGGTTGTCAAGGTGTGGCCCCCTGACACCAACAGCAACATCAGCTGAGAACTTATCAGAAACCCAAATTCATGGACCTCACCCCAGACCTACTGAACAGAAAACTCTGGTGGCAGACCCAGCCAGCTGTGTTTTAACACACCCTCCAGATGATCCTGATGTCCCCCAAGTTTGAGAAGCACTGCCCAGTGTCCTGTCACTAATGTCCAGGCTGCATGCCTGCACCACACTCCCAGTGATTCTGATTCAATTGGCCCGGGGTGGGGCTGGAAGTATCACTGGCATCTAAAACCTCTCCAGGTGACTCTGTGCACCCAGGGTTGAGAACCACTGGGCTAGACACAAGCCAGCCTCCTCCTCCTTCACCTGGGCATTCCCCAAAGGCAGATGACATCATATGGGAAGGGCATGGTGCTCTCCTAGTCAGGAAGATTGCAGTGTAGTCATTCATTCACTCACTCATTCATTCATTCCACCCACTCACAAATACCTATTGAACAGTTATGTACCAGGCACATTCTGGGCTGTTTTATTTTGGGAGGCTGCTCTGCAAAGGTGACATTTGCACAGACACCTAAAAGAAGTCTAGGAGAACGCCCTGCCAAGATCTTAGATTCTAATGGAAGAGCATTCTAGGCTCAGGGAACAGTAAGTGTGAAGGCCCCGGCAGGAGAGTGTGCTTGATGTGTTGGAGTGAGGCGGCTATGTGGCTGGGGGTGGTAGATGAGGCCAGGCGGCCACTGGAGAGGGTTCGGATCCCACATACAGACCGGCCGCTCACTGGCTGAGTGAGGGGCAGGGGCAACACCGAGGGTTGCGATCCCGTGGCCGGTCCCGGTCCGGTACGGGCGCGACACTGAGGGTTGCGATCCGTTGCTGGTCACAAAAAAAGACAAAAAGGAAAATAAAATAAAATAAAATAAAAAAGTCAGTTGCCTGCACCACACTCCCAGTGATTCTGATTCAATTGGCCCGGGGTGGGGCTGGAAGTATCAGTGGCATCTAAAACCTCTCCAGGTGACTCTGTGCACCCAGGGTTGAGAACCACTGGGCTAGACACGAGCCAGCCTCCTCCTCCTTCACCTGGGCATTCCCCAAAGGCAGATGACGTCATATGGGAAGGGCATGGTGCTCTCCTAGTCAGGAAGATTGCAGTGTAGTCATTCATTCACTCGCTCATTCATTCATTCCACCCACTCACAAATACCTATTGAACAGTTATGTACCGGGCACATTCTGGGCTGTTTTATTTTGGGAGGCTGCTCTGCAAAGGTGACATTTGCACAGAC